CAACAGAGTAACCATTATTCTTTCAGAGGGAGAGAAGAAATCTAGGGTGATTAGAGGGGGGTGGGAGGAGGGAAAGGGGGATGGGGAGAGATTGGACAGGGGCATAAAGAATAATTATGATTTCTAACAATATATATGCTAGTAATATTGATTTGATCAACATATCTCAATGTTGAACCCCAAAAATACATATAATCAATTTTGATTCAATAAAAATTTTTAAAAAATTTTTTTAAACTTTTTACTTATTAAGGAATAAAGTTTCCATATAAATTAATAAATTATTTAAAACATTGTATATGAGAATAATGCATTACAAATTTATGAAGGTAATATTAAGTGATTATTTCTTCACGTAAATGATTATGTCCTCATGTAAAATAAAATGTATTCATCACTTTCTAAGATGAAACATGAAATGCATTATACATCACCTAAAAATACTCAGACATTAACGTCTTATGGGTAATTACATTCCCAATTGGAAAAAATATGCATACATTTATGTAACAACATTACCAAAATGGCTGTTGAGATTTGAATCTCATAAAACAAGTGTATAATGGAATCTTCATTAACTAGTAAATAAAAGTGATTATCCTGATAAATATAATGGCCATATAAATAAATCAGCATGCAGAAATGCAGAATAGTCCTTTCTCATAAATAAGGGAATTACAGGGTTTCAATGTGGATATTTACAAATATTCTTCCTCACATGTGTAATCTAAAAAGAAAAAGTGGTTCTCATAGAAGTAGAGACTAGAATAATGGTAACCAGAGGCCGGGAGGGCTAGGAGGTGCAGAAAAGGAGAAGTGGTGGATAACGAGAACAAAACGATGCTGTCTACCCTAAGTGAATCATTGCACAGTATATGCATATATCGAAACAACACACTGTACCCCACAGAAATAAGTATAAAAAAACGGAAAAACAATAAAATTAAAATATCCCTTTTAAACAACCTCAACTTCATAGTCACCATTTGAAAAAAATGTTTGTGAGAAGTTTCTTACACATATGTCTTAAAACCAGGACGTTTATCTTGTTGCATAGCCCTTACAGTTTGCCCTTATTGTTTGCAGCATTTACCTAAGTACGTTTCACTGTCTCACTTGTCCTCATCCCTTATCATCTCTACCATTTTTTTCCGTATACTCTGTTTTTTTCCACAAAGAGACAATGAGTACATGACTATAGCATCTATTGGTTTAATCACCCAGTGGAAAATATCCTATTTCTTTTCATTAAATGAATTTTACCCCTCAGCACTCAAAAATATTAGAATCATGTGCATCCATATTTTGAAGTGGATTAACTTAGTTACTGCCTATGTGGTTAGATTTAGACCACATCTGACACATCTTTGTAGCAAGTTTTCAGAAGTACTGCAAAGGAAGAAACAAAGGGCTCTGCAAAAAATAATCCGATTCAACAACTTTACACACAAAGACTGAATTTTCTGTTCCCGGAGGATTACTTTCCAGATACTCAATCTGATCTGGCAATGTTAGGTCAATTTTATGCTGATTTTATGGGTGAAAGGATAAGAACTGCTGGTGGGAATCACGGTTGCCAGTGATGACTAATATATGCTGTGCTGCTCCTCTTTCCAATGTCTACTAGTAATTCAAAGGAGATTCCGTATCTTAATTTAAAAAATAAAAAACCTTGCAACCAATAATCTAGAAATCAAATATGAAAGGAAGAATACATAACTCGATTTTGACATAAATATGATTTTTTATTTTAATAAGAGAATATCACAGTATAGTAAGAAAAATATACAAATTTTTATTAAGTCAGCAAATTTGAGAGGTGAATATTTAAAGTATTATTTGTATATCACCATCATAAGAATTCAAAAGTCATGATTAAGTATTTTTTAAAATGTAAAGTAAGATAAATTCAGCAATATTTTATTTTTTTTCTCAATCAGATATTTCGCATTTTCTGGCTTTTTATTACAAACAAAAATTAAAATAAGAATACTAGTGTGATTATACTATACTACAAAAATATGCAGGTAAAACTTTTTCAATTTGCCTAAGTAAATAATATTTACTTAATTCTGTGGAATTCAAAGATGAATTAAATATAGTGTCTTTAAAAGTATGCACGTGTAAAATCTCAGTTCAGAGAGAACTGTATATACTTTTGAAAAGACAGAACATATAGTATCAGTATTTTGCTTTATCATAGCTTTCAATGCTTGATTTTACCTAATTGTAAAATAAGAAGTTTTATATATGAGGAAATTAAGGCCAAAGCAATGAGGAGTTTGTCTTAGTCATACACCTAGTTAATGTCAGAGACTAGAGCCTTCTCAGTGGAGATGTAAGAAGCACCTATTTTAAATAATTTTTAATTATTAACAC